ACCTAGACAAATTAGAGGATTGGGCCAAAAGAAATCTGATGAGGTTCAACAAGGACAAGTGCAGAGTCCTGCACTTAGTAAGGAAGAATCCCATGCACTGCTACAAACTAGGGACCGAATGTCTAGGCAGCAGTTCTGCAGAAAAGGACCTAGAAGTTACAGTGGACGAGAAGCTGGATATGAGTCGACAGTGTGCCCTTGTTGCCAAGAAGGCTAACGGCATTTTGGGCAGTATAAGTAGGGGCATTGCCAGCAGATCGAGAGAAGTGATCATTCCCCTCTGTTCGACATTGGTGAGGCCTCATCTGGAGTACTGTGTCCAGTTTTGGGCCCCACACTACAAGAAGGATGTGGAAAAATTGGAAAGAGTCCAGCAGAGGGCAAGAAAAATGATTAAGGGTCTGGAGCACATGACTTATGAGGGGAGGCTGAGGGAACTGGAATTTTTTTAGTCTGCAGAAGAGAAGAATGAGGGGGGATTTGATAGCTGCTTTCCACTACATCAAAGAGGGTTCCAAAGAGGATGGAGCTAGGATGTTCTCAGTGGTGACAGAACAAGGATCAATAGTCTCAAGTTACAGTGGGGGAAGTTTAGACTGGATATTAGGAAAAACTTTTTCACTAATAGGGTAGTGAAGGACTGGAATGAGTTACCTAGGGAGGTGGTGGAATCTCCTTCCTTAGAGGATTTTAAGGTCAGGCTTGACAAAGCCCTGGCTGGGATGATTTAGTTGGGGATTGGTCCAGCTTTGAGCTGGGGGTTGGACTAGATGACCTCCTGAGGTCCCTTCCAACCCTGATATTCTATGATTCTATGATAAGCTCCTGATGTTCTTCTGCAATTTAGTGAGGTGAAATTCCCATTGACTTCATAGGCTTGGATTTTCTAAATAATGCTCCTTTCTGAACCAGCCCTGGTAGAGAGACCAAGCACTAGTATCTAATATTGAAACATCATACAATCACACCGGGCATAATTCTTCAGTCACTTACATTGGTGTGAGTCCTCTGACATTGGAATTATCTGAGATTCGCACTGCAATGAGTATCAATCCTTCTTTGTTTTGTATTGTTTGTCACCTTAATAATTCTTGACAGGGGCGGCTCTAGGCACCAGCAAAGCAAGCACGTGCTTGGGGCAGCCCATTTGCAGGGGCGGCAGGGATCCAGCATGAGAGCTGAGAACCAACAGGGGGCCCTGGGAGCTGTAGTTCCTTGGTTAGCTCCCTGCCTATAGAGCCAGCCCTGGAGCAAGGAAAGAACTACATTTCCCAGCATTCCCTTGGACACTACCAACAGGAAAGACTGGGAGGGAGGGAGGGAGGTAGCTGAGACCTCATGCTGCAGTGATTGGAGAGCTGCACTGTGAGTAGGGATACCATATTTTAACATTCAAAAAATAGGACACTCCACGGGGAGGGAGGGTAGCCCCACCCTGCCCCATCTACTCCCACCCACTGCCCCCCACAGAAACCCCAACCCATCCACCCCCCCCGCCCCCTTCCTGGGCCCCCCACCCCAGCGGGGCTCGC